GAGCAGTGAGGTGGGAAAGAGGGCAGTGGATTCTGTTTTACTATAATTCATAAAAAAATCGTTTACATATTTTATAACTTAACTCAGGACAAAGAATTTATGTTGACACATTAATTAATGTATGTCAAATCATGTATGTCAAATCATGTTTTAAACATTAATATTAAATTCAGAGCATTGATCATCCATATCAAATTTTTAAAAGGTAAAATATTTCAAATGCATAGTAATATTTGAGATCATAATACATTAGCTTGGTTTTCTTGCAAAATATATCTTACTTAGTATTTAACTTCACATAAAATAGTAAGCTACTCATTAAACTCAGACCTATATTAGGGTTTTTTGTTTGTTTGTTTTTTTTTGTCTTGACAGCTTGTTGCAGAGTCCCCAACATTGTCTAATTCCATAATTAAACATAATTCCAGGAACATGATAATGGCAAATGCCAAAATTATCTGTTCCAAGTTTATATCAGAGGACAGACATGAACTTTTCCTCTAACATCCTCTATTCAGGGTTAGCACACTGCAAACAAACACAGCACAGTCTTCACCTTGGATCTGGAGAGCATCAGTTAGCACAGATCTGGCCTCCTGTCAGCAACTCTCAATGGACTCGCCCTGCTGAGGTGTCTCGACTTGAACCACAGTGAGTCGCCCTGTGCTGAGCCTGGGCTTCTACTGTTGCTAGTGAGCTTCATCTCTTTCTCTAGCAACAGCTTTGTCTTGGGCTGCTGGGTTCAGGGTTCTGCTTGCTTTTTTGACCTTAAGTCTGTGCAATCCTATAATTTTGGGGCCATATCTATGTGGAAGCAAGGAGCTAATTATTATATTTATTCTTGGATACATGCAGATAATAATGAGGTTTGTGAAGGCCATAGTGAATCATTAGGTATTTTTAATAAATAATAATTTGTCAGGATCAAATGAGACCTAGGATGTTTTTGTTTTCAATGTTAAAAACAATGAAGAATGATATACAATACGAACTTTAATGAGTATATTACTCAAACACCATTTAAAACATAATTTCATGTCAAGTTGAAACTTGCAAAATCTTTATTGTATGTACACTTACCTTATAATAACAAACTAAATATAACTCTGTGGTGGGTATTATATTAATCTTTGGAGCATTAAATTAAAAAGAAGTAAGTCTTCAAAAACCCTTCAGGCAAAATGACTTTGTGGGCAGGTGGTATTATAAAGATACGTTTTTACATTCTTCTTATAAAATAGTCTTTAACTGAGATTCATCTTGCTACTCAACCTTCTGTGTCCATCACAAATACTTGCTCTTCTCAGATCTTTCCTAATTTTCCTACTTCATGTATTTTCCATCTTTAAACCCCATTGGCTATTTGTATTCTGTAAAATCCTGTAGGGGCTGGGATGTTTCACTTGGTAGGTACTCCTGCTGTGAAAGCATGAGGACCCACATTCTGGTTCCCAACGCCCACCTAAGAAATTGGAGGAGGCCCAGACCTGCAATCCCAGTGCATGAAGAGAAAAGACAGGCTGGTAAGCAGTTGCAGATGACAAATGTAGCCAATCAGTGGGCTCTGGGTTCTGTGAGAGACTCTGACTCAAAAAGGAAGGTGGAGAGGTGGCTCAGCAGTTAAGAGAATGGGCTGTTCTTCCAGAGGACCTGGGTTTAATTCTCAGCACCCACATGATGGCTCACAATTGTCTGTGACTCCGGTCCTAAAGGATCCAATACCCTCTTCCAGCCTCCATGGCACCAGGTACATGCAGACAGTAAAAAATTTAAAATTAATAGTAATAAAAATCAAGATGGACAATGATAGAGGAAAAGCACATTATATGTAAAGTATTTATTAATTTCTTTTAGATATAAGGTCTCATGCAGCCCAGGCTGGCCTTGAATATCCTAAACATCAGAGGATAGATAGCCTTAAATGCAAGGTCCTCCTGCTTCTCCTGCCTCTACCTCCTGAGTGCTGGGAGGATAAGCAGGAGCAATCACGCCCAGTTTCATAGCTATGTTCATGCTAGCAAGCATTCTGCCAACCAAACTGAGTCCCTGTCCTGCTTCTATTTAAATTTCAACAGTTTAAAATGTTTTTGGTTTGGGGGGGAATAAAATTCTGACTTGAATTAAAGGAAACAATAAGGTCTTATTTTTCTACTTGACACAAATTGCGAGAAATGACAGCTGAAGACACAGTTCAGGGGTCAGGGTCATTGTCATCCTCTTGTTCTTTCCAATTAGATGGCAAAAAAATAAAAAGTTAAAAAAAATAAAACAAAAAAAGGTCACCTCAGCATTCAGTACAAAAAGTGGGAAGCTGGGGTGGGGGAGGGGTGCCAAGCAAAGGTCCTGGGTTCCTCAGGTAGAAGAGGTCTTATATGTTCCATGGCACCATAAGAAAGTGGGCTGATATATTTGGGAGGTTTTGTTATTGTTGTTTTGTTTATTTGTTTTTGCCTCTATTTGAAGATGTGAGCTGGAAACTAGGAAAAACTTGGGTGGGCTG